GCATTACTTTTTTTTCTGTGAATCATGGGAGGTTTATTTTCCAAGAAGGTATTAACCATGTTCCCTATCAAATGATAAGTAGGTGTAAGGGGATGTGAACCTAATAATTGAAACGGACTGAGGACAGTACGCTCCTATTTGGTATCATATGTCTAACTTGAGTATCTATGCTAATAGGAAAATTATATTTATTTATCTGTAGCTACATCCAGAATTATGTATTCATATCAAACTTCTTTATATATTCTTTTTTATCTTTCTTATTGTTTAAATAAATATTCTTGTAAATATTTACAGTATCATTGTAGATATTATTTAATTATTTCTACATCTTTGAGAATATTTTAAAAACAATTTACGTTGCTAAATTTCGTTATTAGGGTATCCTTCCCGTAAACGGACAACTCTCATAAGCGGATAAAAGTTTTGGTCCCATAAATGTCCGCTTAACGGAGGTTTCACTATATATATATATTTCACTCTATTTTTCCGGGCAGAAAACTTTGTTTTCCTCTGAAATAAAAGTGAGGGGCGAAAAATCTGCTTCGCATTTTTTGAAATTTAGGCATTAATAGAATAAAATCAAGTGAAGTTGGAAATTTTAAAAAAGAAAGTTGTTTTAAAACTTCAACGCTGTTTTCCAAATAGAATACTTAATTTTCCTCTGAAATAGTGAGATGGTAATGTGAATAAGTATATATGAATAAGTAACTTGTTTTCCTAAATATATGAGCTAACATGATAAATAAATAGCTCAAATGACGGTTAGAGATGGAGTACAGAAAGTTTTTGAAGCGGCCCTGGCCGAAAGTTTTTGTTCCAGAGCCCCGTGGGGCGAAGTTACGGCACTGAGCGGCACTAAACGGCGATAGGACGCAAGTCTTTGCGAAAACCGCACCATGGATTATTTCTGTCATGACCCAAACCATGACCGTAACCTCCGGAACATGGAGTCTTAAGATGGGATATCATAAGTAGTCCTAGATATTCTGTACCCAAAGGAGCTAATTTTAGATAATAATTTTGCTAGAGTACCTTCTTGTCGCGACCTCTTTTGTCGAAGGGATGGAAGCGGAGAGGTAAAATTCCAAAATATGCTTTCAATCCTTTTAATCTAATTTTCACAAATAAACTGATTGCTGATATTTATTCTATTTGGCAGTATGTTTCGATATATGTGAAATACGAGGGCGCCACAAAATCACAATTTGAGGTATAAGACATGCTGTATTTTCTATTTCTCCGTTAATTTTTCTGACACAATTGTGCCAATACAATTCTACAATCAATAGTATTTGCTAGGTACTTAAATAGTACATAGCTGCCTATTTTCAGAATGTTGATCGTTGTTTTCATGCATATATAGTGAATATTTCGTGCGTATTGCATTAGTACTAGTACAACATGAGATTATATTGTAATTAGTTTATATTATTGTTCTTATCTTTTGAGAAATGCATCTTGTACAAATAAATTAGTGTATGAAACAGACGGTATCTATCCTTTTCTTTGTCATGGCTATATTCCTTCAAAATTATATCGAAAAACATTAGTTTTTTATGTCTGAATATATTTTACTTCATTTTCAGATTCTCATGAAGTGCAGGTGTTTGCAATCATTTTTTTATTTTGGCAACGTATTCTGTTGTTTAATTTTTGCTGGCGTGTGACTTACCAAGAAAAAATTCGTTTCATTTAGAGGCGAATGACTAAACTTCACACATCTTCAATTTCGTTGCTTTAATAAATTGGTAATCGGAACGCACAATGTTGCCACAATATTTACGGTGGTAGAGTAATAACAACTAAGGTAAGCATAATTTCTTAAATCATGAAATAATTTGTTTTTCATCCTGAACTTTGTCTAGCGATTATAGAATATTATATGTATGTTTTGATTGTTTACATGCAATGGTGACCAAAATCATTATCCTTCAAATTATTTAATTACGACATAAATATATTCCAATCGGCTTAATATATTGCATTTACAATTTTTATTTTCTGTATACAACAATTAATATCAAATGAATGACAAACAACTGTCCTTCGCACAGATTAGGTGTCCGCCGAATATGATTAGTTGAATATGATCCACGAGGTTGAGCATGGCCCACGAAGTTGAGGCCTTGAAATTAATATCCAATATATATAACCAACATATATAATCCAATTCAATATAAGGGCTAGCATGAGTATTAGTAACATTCATTCATTTCATTGTTAAGTAAAATATAGCAGCAACATAAATTTTTTCTCAAAAATGAATACTTCAATTCTTGCATATGCGTAACATAATAAGCTAAACTCAACTTTTTCAAGGGATGCCTTGTTTGAACTTTTTCAATCGCAGTTAATTCTATAATTATTGAAACTGGCTAATGGTGGTTACTGACACACAAGTCTATGTCGAGAACTATATTTTATTACCGATAATATTTACATATATATAAATCAAAATTTAGAATAGATAATCTGAAGTACCGAGATTATATGAGCCGCTCAGAAGCCAATGCGTTTAAGTCCATTTTTTGATATTTTCTGATTTTTGGAAATTTTGATGAAATAAATAATAATCTTCTTAGTTATTAAAGGATTTACTCGTTGGTTACTTTTTTCTAGGTTAGACAGCCCTTTTTTTAATAGCTTCTGAATATATTGTATAATAATTTCAGAAGCCATTGTGAATNTGTAAAATTTTTTTTTATTATTTAATTGCTGGAAATTATTTGTTTGTCACCACAGTGCGTTTATGAAAGCGCCGCAGGGAAAATGCAATAGAAGTTTTTGAAAAATTCGAAAATTTTTTTGCTGAATTATAATTACATTTTTTATAACCTTTTAGAATATTTTCCTCTATGATATGATAAAATCTTTTTCAAATAATCCTATATTAATTTTAAAAATATATTTATATACATTTTAAAATCTCATATAATAAACTTTGAGTGGTTCTGCAATCTTACTTAATAAATTTAAGTAAGAGATTTTAATTTCTAAGTGCATAAGGATATTCATAATGCTATTCAATTTGAATATTAATCAATTCTTGTATACATATTACATAAAAGCTAGCTAATAAAACTTTAAACTTTTTAAAAGCTAGCTTTTAAAACTTTAAAACTTTAATAAAATTTTAAAACTTTAAAGCTAGCTAATAAAACTTTTAACTCGTTTAATTATTATTATTATACTAGTTTGATGTTTTACCAAAACATGATTGTTTACCTCTCATTTACCTAAAATTCATAACATTAATATTAAAAAATATAAGCACAAAATTTAAAGAAAATTAGATTTAAATAAATGTGTTATTATTGAAATACAGTTAATAACGCTGTTTAATTTTTTGAACAAAACTTTAACATTTGTCATAAAATTAGTATGAGAAATATACTGGAACTGATTTATGATTGATTTACATTTTGGGAACAATCTACGGAGAAATGTTATTGGGGAGGAGCTACAAAAAGACGTAACAGAAGGCAATGCCGAGAAAACCAATCAGCGCGCTCAAAATCTCTTGGGGTTACTATGTGTGTAAAGAGAGTTTACATGCGAACCGGGCTCGAATCGCAACCATGGCCGATCTATACGAGTTCTGCATCCGGCTTGCTCCAACCACAGTGCTGACATGGAATATTCTCAGTGGTAGAAGGATCATGGGCTAGAATCTGCTTGTCTTTAGGCTAAACGTGGGAGATTTTCGTTGTTTTCTTATCCATGTTACACAATTACGGGTTAGTTCCCTTACAAAATCCTCCACGGAGGTAAATTTCTCCCAATACTTGATCCAGGAGTTCCTTTGTCTTCTGGATTGTGTTCAAAATTACATGGTTATGGCGTAGTCGTAATCCTAAAAATTAGGTGTGCGACGGTTAGAAAATAAAATAAAATATATTGTTGGTATGAAGCGGAGTGGTATATTTAAACATAACCTGATCTTCAAATTTATTCTATATTGTTGTTATGAAGTTGAGTGGTATATAAAAACATAACATGATCTTCAATTTTGATAGATATTGTATATATAAAGCGGAGTGGTATATTAAAACATAACTTGATCTTCAATTTTATTTGATTTTAAAGGTATGAGGCGGAGTGGAGTCGACAGCTTAGAAAGCTGGGTGGTGGCAGCAGCAAGTAGTGCAGTATTCTTGTTTTCAACATGGCCGATGAGGTTAGGAGGACAACTTTTTGTTTCGATGCTTGACCATTTTGAAACGAACAGGAAGAATGCCGCTTTTCCATTTGCTCTGGCATACTTAATGAGAAGCGTTTCAGGTAAAGAATTGGCTAGTATTTTAAAGGACTTTCTTTTCATTTTATTGTAATTTATTAAAGATATCAGACTGGATTAAAAGCGACAATTTCGTAGAATGAAAGCGACACTCCGCACTGAAACGGCCTACATAAGAAAAAAGAACAATGATAGTAATACATCTTTGTCTAAGTACTTTACAAGAGTGGGTGTTATGATCTCTAATTTTTTTTATTCATATAAAATAAGTTTTTTCATTTTTTTAAATCTTTTTAAAAAAATAAATTATCGTTAGACTCATTCTAAAAAAAGAAGTTAATTATAGAATTCTTCGAAACTTTGCATGTGGATTTTGCATAATGTTAGCTATATTTTGGATTAACTGAGGTCCAAGAATGAATTTATTATTTTTATCATCAGAGACAGAATTACAGATCTCAGGGCTCTGGTCACAGAGCCACTTGGTCCTCTAAAAGAGTCGTATTGTTTCAGTTAGCATGCATGGTTTTTAATCATAACAATAAAAAACATTTTCAACAGCATCGATTTGTAAACATGATAGCTTATTTAGAAAATCGAACTTTAATTTAACTAAACTATGAAAAAAATACTGAAATCTAACTGTTAGAGTATTTAATTTAATTGTAATCGAGAATGATGGAAATTGGGTGGGAAACAAGACATTCATACTAAGTACCTAGCAAAGCATCAAAATCATTTTAAAAATCATTTATATTTCTTATTTGCATAAAAAACCCTGTTTATCAAATTTATATTTGAGGTAATTATAATTTTATAAATTATAAAAACTCACACTAAATGTTTTCCTCATTTTGAAGCAATTGCATAAAAGTTGACATTATAACAAGAAAAAAGTAAAATAAAAATTTGAGACTGCTTATTGTATCCTCCCTCACAAGTTGGCAGCTCTGGGCACGAGTCCCGAATGCCTTTCATAAACCAGTCCCTGATTATCAAGCCTTAAAATTATGTGATTTTTCCTTTAAAAAATAAATATTGAATATATATAGTTCTATTTCATTGTATATTTTAAATTTTTTTTAAAGAGTTGAATTTAAAACACAGGATGTCATATTATTGGCAGAAAAAAACTATTTTGATACTCATGAATTATAATTTGTTGTGCGATTGTTAGAGCGTCATAAAAAATTTGTAGCTTTTATTCTCAAATTTGCCATTATTTTGAAGAAAAAGAAAATGTCTAAAAAATTTGAAAGCTTACTTAAAATTTATAATTTTAAGACATTTGCTTACTAAAAATAAAAGTAAAATTTTAAAGAACGCTGTTTTTGAAACAAATTATGTCTAACACTGTCAGATATCTTAAAAAGGAAATACAAAATATTGATTTTTATACATTTTATACAACTTTGCTTTTTTTTCAAATCTTTTTTGTTTTGTTACTATCACGTCTATCAATTCTTGAAAATTGGAGCCTATTTTTCATCCGCTTAAAACATATCGACTGTCATTATTTCATTTCTGTATAATTTTTAAGCTTAGGAAGTTTTTAATCGGATAATACAGTAATAATTTATGGCAATTTTTCATTATCTGAAATATAAATAATTTTGTCCAATACTTTAATATTTCATGTTCTGAGTTAATGTGTAAAATATATAATTTGTAGTTAAAATATGAAAATATACGCATTGGGAATAATAACTATTTATAATATTATAGTTTTGTGATTTAATAATTAATAAGTATCAGTTTTTATTCTATAAGTTTATGCAATAATTTTAAATTATTATGCATGATGGCATTTAAGTTGACAAAACTGCAGCTCAACTAGATGGATTTAGACATAAGGAACACGATAGATATGTCCGTTATCAAAAACTCGAGAAATCTTCAAGTGATTCACTTTGTTGGAATCTTGGGCATAAATTCAGTTTCGACAATGCTAGAATTAATTCCACCCCAGTCACGTCGGCTCATCTTGATATCCTAGAATCTTATTTTATTCATATGAAAGCTGATTCCTATGTTAACGTTAGTTCTTCCCCACATCTCCATAAAGCTTGGAAATACATTTTACCCAGATTTGCCTCTCGTCCACTGTGTTTTGTCTTGTTCTGTTTTTTTATTTTTCCCCTATCGTCTTCTGTGTATTTTATAGTTTTTGTTTCTTGCCTTTTCGTCCATTTTTCGTTGGCAACTTCACGTTTTTTTTAGTTAAATTTACGTCTGTCAAGGTGTCCCAGTCATGAAAATGAGTGCCTATTTTTTATGCGTTTAAACCATGTTTAAACACATAACATTAACGTTAACATGTTGACTGTCATTTCAATTTTGTAAATTTTTGAAACTTGTGAAGTTTTTTAGACTACCAGGTAATACCAGACGGATCGTCTTAAATATCTTGAATAGGTTTTTGCGAATTTTGGATAATTTATCACTTAACTATTGTTTTTAAGCGGTTATTGTGATTTTTTGGTAACTTTTACTATCTAGCTTTAATTTCTGGATGTTCTTAAATCTAATATTTTTATATCCTATTATCATCTGATATTTTTAAGTTATTTTGTTATTCAATATTAAAATCCTAATATCATCTAATGTTTTTAAATCTTATTCTATTTTCAATAAATATTTCAATCGTAATATCACCTTGTTTCCAGGTCCATTTGCCGGATACTTTGGGGTAAAAATTGGTTTACAGACGGTGACATTGATTGGAACATTATTGTGTGCGATCGGTGTTGGAGGATGTTTTTTTGCTGAAAACATATTTACAGTCAACATTTGTTTAGGATTAATATATGGTATTATTTATTTTCTTAAAAAATGCTAATTATATAACTTTGTTTTAATTGTTTCTGCACAAATATTAAAAAAAAAATTAGTTTCCTGGAGAGTTATTAGAAAATTTAAGATACTTGAAATGTGCATGATAAAGCTCAGAAGCATGACAAATGAAATACTTCAATTTTAAATATGTATTAAGTGATTTCTCACTATAAAATTTGAAAAGTTAGAGTAATAATATCCGGTAAAAAGTTGTTTAAAATATTTCAAGGTACCAGAAAGGACGATAAATTGTTTATTTTCATGTATTTATTATTTTAAAATTTGATGTTATTTTTAGGTAAATTGTTTTTTTAACTCAAAAACCATATTGAGCAGTATGCATTGTTACAAATAAACTGCAAAAGAAAAATCCGAATCGTATTTTTATTAGCCTATTTTATGGCAATTATTATTAAACTACATTCATTAAGACAGAAAGAAAAAATCATGCATAAAAAATAACATTTAAGAAATAAAATGTTTCATGTATGCACCTTTGGCCAAATCAAAGCATAAATCATTTAGTTAAACACTAGTTATTCTTGAAGATTGTTTTATTTTTTATTCTATTAACAAAATTTGTAATTTTAATCCACAATAAGAACACATGATTAATCTCAAATGGAATGATCATACATCTTCAATTTTTTCCTTCAAAGCTTTTTTAAACATCAAGCTGATCTTGAGACAGTTTAGTTTTTAATTTAAACCATATTTTTATATCAACATTTAGAAATAAAGCATTTTTCTGAAGATATGAATACATTAGTTTTTAAAATTCTTCAGGTGTAGGATTTGGATGGGCCACTGCTACTCTTCCTGAAATCATTAATCAACATTTCATCAAACACAGAGCAAAAGCCATTGGACTGATGTTTGGAGGAAGTGGTTTAGGAGCATTCGCTACTCCTCCGTTCTTAGCATATATTTTGGCAACTTTCGGCATGTCTGGAACATTTTTGATTACGTCTGCAATTCTTTTACATGGTGTGCCAGTTTCAATGTTACTAACAAAACCGAGACTCAATACGAGTACACTAAACTCAAGGGGCAAAAAGAGTTCTGATCTTGCTGGTGAATCAACACATCCAATCAAATCTATCAATTCTATTAAATCAGATAAAAGTGAACCAGACTCCAAACTGGCTGCAACAACAGACTTAATTTTAAACGAAAGTAATCATTGCATGAATTTGGAGAATAAAAGCATTCTGAGTCCACGTCTAAGTTCGAGCATTTCTCATGATGACCTGTCGAAAGTAAACAGGCTATCAATGCAAAAATTGGAGCATTACAATTTAGAAATGATTTATCAAAAAGAGTTTAGAGATCAAAATCGAACTTCAGATTTTCTCAATAAGCGTGCATCAATTGAATCAAAAGTAAAAGTATATTCTGTTGATCAATCATCCAAAAAAAATTCACGCTCTTCCGTAAATGTTCTATGGAACCCAACTTTCTTGCTTATTGCAACAGTTACTAGTGCTCATTTTTACGTGCAATACATGTACTGGACGATTATTGTAGATATTGGACGCGATAAAGGCTCCGAAAAACATCAAGAAATATATCTTGTGATGGCTCTTTCGCTATTTGACATGCTCGGACGTTTATCTCTGGGTTTTATCACTGACAGTGGCTTCATTAGCAGCATTAATTTCTGTGCCTTTTGTTTTGCTTGCATGGGACTGCTCTGCTTGGCCATGGTTTTTGTGTCAGATTTTCAAGCAACTCTGGTTGTCACGTCTATTTTGGGTGCAACAATTGGAGGTAATACCACTGGACTTCCAGGCATCGTCACAGCATTCTTCGAAAAGGAAAAAAGATCGATGGCCATGGCTTCTAGGCTAATCATGTACGCACCCATGAGTTTCACCATGTCTCCATTAATAGGTATAACTTAAATATAAACTACAAGTATTTGTTATGTATACTGTGTGTCCCGTAGTCACTAACCGTAATATACATTTGAATAATTCGTCAGATTATTTAATCAGAGGTCAATGTAGACGGCTACCGGAGTTCAACTCCAGTAGTTTTCTAAAAAGTGGAAAAAGTCAAAACAACCAGAATATGGTGAAATTTACCACTTTTCTGGCTCTATGAGAACACACAAGGAGCTTGATAATTTTTAACGAAGCGGTTTGGTAAATATTTTGGTAAATTTAGCAATAAATATGTTTTCGTAAAAGGTGATAAAATTTGGTAATCGTGGTAAAATTTAGCAATTTTAGCGTCATACTTTAGATACTACCATAAAAATCAATTATTCGGTTAAGTTTACTTTTCAGTTATGTATTTTTTACTAACTGTCGGGTAATAAGATCTCCAATTTTGAAAACCGGAATTTTCGGTAACTCGTTACCACATGGGCTAAAAAAATACAAAATGAATGCTTTATATATCGTACACTTTGGTTTTTAATTCCAGAATTATGGTATTTTTTCTACCAGAAATATTATTACAACATAGTACAGTAATTTCACCTGAACTCGTTTCTCCTTGTCATAAAATTGAGCCCTTTAGGAATATCACCGACCGGTCTGTGTAGGCGTTAAGGAACTGGTCTTGCATCAGAAAGGTTTTGGGTTCGAATCCCCGACAATGTATAAATGTTGCTTTCTCTGTACTATGTGTCCTTACTGTGGGAGCAACGTTAGTCTAGCTAATATGGTGCCCCTGAAAGAGTGGCCAACAAATCTGCCCACATCCACCTGAATTGACGAATGTCAACCCTGGTGGTCATTGGAAAATTAAAAGTATCTATTGATCTATTCGTTTAAAATAAATGTTGGTTAAGGCTTGGTAAGCTTGGTTTTGATCACCAGAATTGTTTTAACTAGAAATGTTATTATGATACTGAACGGTAATTTTACCAGAATTTTTTTTTCTCCGTGTGCAAGTTTCATTAAGCATATATTCCAGTTTCGAACTGTATAATACCCACCTGCCTCATCAGGACTCACGAACTTTGAAAACGATATTTTTTCTCGTTCATAACCTACTTTGTGACGCTTATGTGTTTTATCGACTGACTTTAATTTTGAAAAGGTATTTTTAAAGTTAAGAGTGGTGATTACTGAGAACCTTGACAAATATCTCACATTCTTCTCTCTCTTCACTGTCTGCAAATTTTTGATAAATGGCTATTCTTTTATGAATATTCTTATGCTGGCATCCCTAACTAACTATTTTTTGACAATTCCAGGTTATTTCAGAGGCACTTTAGGATCTTACGATGGACTCCTATATGTTTTGATGTCATTGTGTACCCTTTGCGTCTTCCTACTTTTGATGCTGTCCAAATCACCAAATACAAAGATAACAGTTGAGAGTAATTCATAAAGTAAATCTATTTTTTTGGGTGATAAAATTGATAATTCATCAAGACAGAACGTCCTCTAAGCTCTGACGTCATTGTGTCTAATTTGTGTTATGTACTTTTGATGTTGGCTAAGTTAGGTACCAAACAGAAGAAAAACAAATGAAACTTTTTCGGCGAGTAAATTTTTGTGGTTAAAAATGAATCATTCATTTAAATATAAAGTCTATAAATTACCTTTTGACTGCCACTCTTAGATGACATCACGTCTTTAGCTAAGAGAGTTTCATAGACGAGAACTGACACAGTTTTATCGATTTTCATCATGTGTTCGAATACTTCTGCAACGAAAATAATTCCATTCTAGCTGAAGAACTTCAATATCAATTATACAGGGTTGGAAAAAATAGAAACATCGATAAGTCTATTTCATGTGACATTTTTAAGATAATTTAATGATTTTTGTATAACATTCAGTCAAAATTTTTTAAAAATCGCGTGGATTAATTTTTAATAACACTAGATTTTTACAAGATTCTGTAACTTGTGATTCTGTTTAAGCAATTTTATAGATATATATATAATTTTGTTTAATTTGGTGTCTAAGGAACTCTGAACATCTTTAACTCAAAAATTTGATTGGTCTAAAATTTACACACTACAAAATAATTAAAAATTACTTCTTTCGTCACAATATAATATTAAAAACTTATATTTAAAATTTTAATGGTCATTTTTAAGTTTAATAATAAAGGATTACTTTTTTCATCAATTGTAAAAAAATTGTACGAAATTCTCTTTGAACAATTGAGTTGCATACTTATGTGCAAAAACTTTTCACTTCGAAAATTTTCAAAATCGTTCAGTTGCAAAAAATGTTTATGTTAATATTGCAAAAATCAGAAATACATATGCAAGTGGTAGTCGTTACTTTCCTTCAAATCAGTTTATAGAAATTTCTCTAGTATTTGGTATTTTCTACTATTTGGTATTTATCCGAAAACAGTTGCTGAACTTAAACGTATAAGTGAATGATGGTGGACTTTCCGAATTACTGAAGCTGTAGCGGTACGCCAAGAAAGTTGAAAAAGTTTAAATTCTCTTCTTCCTTTTCATGTGAACGAACTATTCAGAGTTCTATAAATTGCTTTTATAACTACATTTTAAAATGTTATTCTGTTCAACTTTACTTGATATTGTTATCCAAAGATCAATATTAAGGTTTATGCATGCGGTTCTTTTTCTTAGAACTAGCTCATGTAAGAGTTCCAAAATCGCCAACTTTAATGCAATTTTTTTTGGAATTTTTATCAAATACGAAATAAAATTTAAATACCCGTAGAATAATGAAAACAAAATGATTCATAATTGTGATTAATAGTAAAGAGAGAAGAGAAAGTCATCAAAATTAGTTTACTTAAAGAAAAATATGAAAGGAGGGTGGTTTTCAATAAGGTCTTCCATTTATTAAATTTCTTTAAAAAATAGTTCATTATTAACTTATATTAAACATTATTCATTAAAAATTCAGATTTATTAACATATATTAAATCAATTTAGTTTCATATAAGTAAATTAATTAAAAGTCAAGCAAATTCTTATTAATTTTATTAAACTTAATCAATTTTAATAATTTATCATTTAGCTACATTAAATTACTCGAGAACAACTGAAACAACGTACTTACGAAGAAATTTGATAAAATATAGTTTTACAAAGAATTGCGTACTGACAAAGAGTTATCTCGAATGAAACAATACTGGAAATGGTAACTAGCATACATTTAAATAGTTTTGTACAATTTAACGTTAAATAATATTGCGATCATCAAGTTATTTTAGCTTAATTCCACATTATATTATCTTTAATCTAGAAATGTTTAATCTTAATAAATGGATCTTGCATTTCCTTGATATCCTAGATAACTATTTAATATCATAACTATTTTATTTAATATATAATTATTATCAAATGCAACTTAATATTATTAATTGCTATAAAATACAAATTAATAATTAATAATTATTGATGAATTATTAATTGTAAAAATTAATAATTATTCTCTGTCAAACTCGTTGAAATCAGACTCGTTCCGAGTTAATCCGACATCAGAGTTAAGGGATAGCTTTTCAATTTGTCTTTCGAATGTGACGATCTTTTCTGTTCCGGACCCACTCTGCTTGAATGTGGCGAATTTGACCTCCGTGCAGACATAAAAATACCTCAGTAGCAGACAAATCATGAGTTGACGTCCCCTTGCCGACAGGCTAACTATGGGAGGTTTTAATGGTTTTCCTCTCCATGTAAAGCGAATGCGGGTTAGTTCCATCAAAAAGTATTCCAGAAAGCAAATTTCTCTTAATACTTGATGCAGAAGTTCCCTTGTCTTTCGAACTGGGTGCAAAATAAGAAGAATTCTGTGTTAAACATAAGTAATCGTAAACCCAAAATTGGGTCGGTACCGTGGTGGCTCAGGTAATAGAGCGTTCGCCTTCCAAGTTAAACCGGGTTCAAATCTCAGCGATGGGTGGTCGATATGAATTCCGCACCCTGCTCTCTCCGACTGTAGTGCTGATCTAAAACATTATCAGTGGTAGACAGATTTCGGCTTACTATCCTCTTGCCATCAGGTTAACCATGGGTGGCTTTTTGGAGATTTTCCTCACCATGTAACGCAAATGCTAGTTGGTTCTGCCAAAAATCCTTACACGAAAGCAAACTTCTTCCAGTACTCTATCCATGAGTTCTCGTCTTCTGGAATGGGTTCAAAATTAAAAGGCTGTTAAGTTGAGCATAGGCAGTCATCAACTCAGGTTATAAAATAAACGGTGATAAAATAAAATAAAATTAAAATAAAAGTACGAGCCGTGTTGCGTCAGGGGATAAAAAAACTCTCTTCAGAGATTGAGTTTGAATCCTAGCGAAGGCTAATCGATACGAATTAAGCATCTGGATGGTAGCGACCACAGTGCTGACAAAAGATATCCTCAATGGTAGACGGATCATGGGTTAGAGCATAGATTCTCAACCTTTTTAACGTTGCCGCCCCCTTAAGGAGCAAAAAGCATTTCAACGCCCCCCTTTGTGGAAATCCAGTTATTCAGAGGATGGGACTTAGTGAGGTGTGCTGAATTGTAAGAGTCAACTTTTTTAAGCAGTTTTTTACGCTTTAAATTTTTTTTTTCTAAAAAATAATGTGTACATTAACTATATAATTTTCTCACGGCAATTAATCGCACTTTATTTGTTATGATAAAGATAAATACGTTTAATGAAAAAAAATACAACAANATTAAGCATCTAGATGGTAGCGACCACAAAGCTGACAAAAGATATCCTCAATGGTAGACGGATCATGGGTTAGAGTCATCTTGCAGCAAGTCTAACCGTTGGAGGTACCCGTGGTTTTCCTCTTCATGAAACGCAAATGCGGGTTAGTTCTATCAAGAAGTCCTCCAAGACGCAAATTTTCCCTAATACTTAATCCAGGAATTCCCCTGCTTTCTAGATTGGGTTCAAAATTACAAAACTATGGAGCAAAGTTGAACGCTGATAGTCGTAAACTCGTAAGAAATTGAGAAAGTCTTAAATATTGGGTCGGCAGTTCAATGACGGTTATAAAAATTAAAAGTAGTGAAGCCGCTGTTGCTCAGGGGGTAAGGCACTCGCATCACAAAGAAGTGACACAGGTTTGAATCCCATCCGTGGCTAGTTGGTACGAAAGTGGCAGATGGATTATGGGCTAAAGTCCTTTTGCTGTTAGGCTAACTCTGGGAGGATTTTCCTCGCCATGTAAGACAAATACTGGTTAGTTCCAATAAAAATTCCTCCACGAAAGCTAGTTTCTCTCAATCAGAATTGAAGAATTGAAATCAGAATTGAAAGCTCAGAAACTCCTTTGGGTTCTTGTAGGTTGGGTCCAAAATTACAAGGTTATGTTGATGGTCGTAAACTTAGATTTGGGTCAGCTATTCAGCGTCTGTTATAAAAAGTAATAAAAATTAAAAGTTATATAATAATAATTGTAACAATAATTTATTCAAAATGAAGTTACATTTGAAATTCTTTTAGTCTTCTATTTATGAAGTTCTGTAATTTGCGAAAGGTCTCGTGCTCATAATCTTATTTTTTCCGTGGTATTCCTTTCGATATCTTTCCCTATCATTAAAAGTTCTTATTTAAAATTTCTACCATAAGAATTTGTTCTCGCGAAATTTAATTTTTGAGAGATTCTGCCCGCGCAAGACTTAGGCGAGGAAATTTCGTCTAGCGAGATTTTAACCGAATACCCTTTATAAGCCTTGACGATGTGCGTAAATTGATTTTAAACAATGTTAAAAACATAAACAAATTATGAAAGTGATTCTCAAAATAAGTAAATATTTGTTAAAGATCAAGAGTGTCTTATGTTCTTTAAAAGGGCCTTTTTCTTTCTGTTTTTAATTAAAATAACTTTTATTGCACTCTGAGAAAAAATGAGGTCGCAGTCTTTGATTAAATAAAGCTCTAAAGATAATTAATTATTGCATAAACTTCCGGACAAAGCATGGTTAATTAAAACTTAAAAATAAGCTTCTCTTCAAAATAAAAACTATTAATGCTTGTTATTGTAATTTCTTAGTCACGAAAAGCTTCCTCGTTTTGGAATTATTTATTGCACTTCAACTTAAGTATCTTTTCCTTACCTTTTGATATTTTACCTGCTCTTCTTAGTGAATGGTTAAGCGTTATAGCCTTTTTATCGATTTTCTCGACGCAACAGAGAAACAGTTGGCATAATTCAAAAAATAAGACAACCAAGGCATAATTCATTTTGGTCTTTCTGCTCAAACTTGTTGTTTTCGAGTAGACAAAAAAGGCTTTCTGAGATTTAATGTTCCCTTAGGATAACTTCCACTGAAAAAAAGATGTTTTATAATGAAGGGTGTTATAACTTTAGTTTGATAGAAAAGCTCTAGCATTTTATTATTGGTCTTAGTTTTCAATAAAAAGGAATCTTGCAATAGGTTGAGTATATATAGTTTCCAAAAAAAATAACATATCAATGTTGTTCATTAATTAAGATTGTTTAACTTCAATATTTATGAATGGGAAAGGAAATCCTTTAAAATTTCTAGTTATTATAAATTTATTTTTTTTAATATAAAAATAAATTTAAGGATAATTCTAAGAAATATATAAAATAATATTTGATATAAATTATTTTCCTTTCAAAAGTGAAAGTTATTTTCTTAAAATTACTGTTCGTAATTCGAAAAGGAACTGTTTTTTTTTTCAACATTTCGATTTAAAGGAATCATTAAATGTATGCATAACTAACTTATAAAGTGCGTTTATTTAGTCAATATTGTAATAGTTTTTTTAAAAAAAATATATATGTTTGTAAAAACAAGCAATAAAATTATATACTTTTTTCTTTCTTCGTATTGTTTATCAACTTCTGCTTAATGCTCAAGCTCAAAAACGAGGTTCTAACATACCACTTATTTCAACGTCGACGTGGGGCGCTACGTACGCTGCAAACTAAGGCGTTCGTTCTATTAAACCACGCTTTTAGTCGCCTAAGTCCTTGAACTGTGTGTTTCACAGTTGTAGGTAAAAAGATTTTCTTTTACTCGCGATATTATAATTTGCCGGTATTTCTCGATATTATCGTTCGTCGATAATTTCTGACATTATCATTTGCTTTTTATTCAAATTGAATAGATAAGACTTTCAATATTTTAAATCCGTTTCCCAAGGGGTGTTTCGTGGAACCCTGAGGTTCCTAGGTATGGTTACAAGGGTTCTGAGAGTTAAATTTTGATTTTGGAAATCTGTATTTATATTTATATTCGATTAACCAACTAACAACACATCATTAAATACTTTTATTATTTTTATGAAAATATTTAATTAAAATTCTTGCCAATGCAACAAATCAAAACTAAAAAAAAATTATAACAACAATATTATTAAAAGAATAATAAAAGGGACACATTTATGAAAAATTTTATTAGTATTTTGCATAGAATAAAAATAACTAAATTCAACAATGAAGAAATATGTCTCTAATAATCATTCTAAACATTTATTTCTGTCCTTTTTTATCTTTATTCAGTTTATACTAGTAAAAAAATAAAATTAGAAGACTGTATGCTGCTTCAGACCCGTATATTCATCTGTCTGGCGTAATAGTATTGATAAAACAATGGGATGAAATTTTTTTTTATTCATTCTTTAAATATTTAAAAAATAATTAATAAAATTTCTATCAGTAAATATTTTTATTTATTTATAAATTTATTTATAAATTTATTTATTAAGGCTCGGGTTTCCACCAAAAGAAAATCTATCATTTAGGGTTCCATTGCCGAAAAAAATGCTTTAAATAAATAATATGATTTAGGGAATAGGTCTCATTATATACCCCAACAAAAAATTTTGATGAAAAATATTAAGAGATCGCGGGGTGTTTCAGCAGATCAATATTAATATAAAATTTAGTCTGATTAATTTAGAGCAAAAATTTTGTTGGTACCCTTAAAACTTCCAGAGTTATTAATTTTTCTTAAACCATCTATTCACTGATTCCAACCAATCCACAAACTTTAGACTCATTTGACCTCAAAATCAATATTTTGAGTTTCCACGCTAGATATTTCTAGTTCTATTGCAGCAAGAGTCTTAAAGTTTGTTATATAATTATATTAATGTAAGTTTATTTGAATAAAGTAATATTATAGAAATGGAGCGATATTTTGTTCATAATTTCTTTTAAAAAAAAGCAGATTTTCTAACACATCGAATTTTTGTAGTTTAAAAAGTTAAAATACTTATTTTCATATTATATCTATGAGTTTATTTCAATAACAATCTTATGCACTTGCTTTGGAGTTGCAAGCAGTTTTAGACATTTTAATCATTTTTGTGCATTTAACTGTACGTAAAATTGAGTTTTTCTTTCTTTCTTTTTTTGAAGAAAAGACATTTTTGAACTTCAAAATAAATAATTGTTGATTTAAAAAATTGTGAATATAATTGAGAATGTCATAGATGTTATCATGTACAGCAAAACATCTGGTTTCTAATACTATTTTCACACTCAGGCTCTATCGAAGAGTTATAAAATATTTTGTTTTTACTTGAATCTCAACATCACAGAGACTTTTTAAATGTATCAAAGAACATTTAATGTAGCAATTAAAATACTTTTAAAACAAAACTAGTACAACTTCCTAAAAACGCATCAACGCAAATCTGATTGTATATCCTCTCGAAGACAGCTGGATCAATGAGGAGTTGTTAAGTGGTGAGTTCGTACAAGCGGATATAAAAAAGAAGCAGTGAAGCGAGAAATCTGTGCATTATTTATACGTCATCTCGCCAATTTGTTTCTAAAATACCAATGCCATAGATTTAGAGCAATGATGCCGAATGCAGTAGAATCAATGTGGAGCCGCAAAGCGGTGTTTTCGTGAAGGTGGAAGGTAATGTGTTAGTGATGTGCTTTTGTAGGGTGAACCAGATGGTTGCCTCAAACGGTCAGTTGTAAGACGATTATGCAATACATATCTTAGGTCCGTAATCTATCGCAGATCTGTAAACGTGACATACAAATTCCGTCAAGTATAACGGGAATGTTTTGATTAAACCTTTTTGATTACATTTTTCCAAATATGGAACTATAGTTCTGCTGAAATAAAAATGTTATATTCTGTGAGAAAAGAAATAATTTCAGAATATACTGAAGTCATTTTGTTTTGCTTTTTGAAAATAGAAAGAAAAATATGAAATGCGGAGAAACGAAAAATGTTTGATAAAATCAGAAATTTTGATATTAAATATAGGAGTACAACATAAAGTTTCCCTTTTTTTCATAACTGTTTTCTTAAAATTGTGTCTTGAAATTCTGTTTGTTGTTTACTGCTTGAGAATGCAAAAATAAATTTTTTCCTAGCACTAAAATTTGCTACGAAGCTCATTGACTGATTACGCTGCTCAATAACAGAAATTTTAGAACAACGCAAGATCTGAAGCGACTGCGCATGTTCGCGTTCATTTAAGATGTTAAGAATCTCTACGTTATGTTGGCGTGATAATCGCTACAAAGACAAAGCTACAAGCACACTGCTTCTGGCCGCTAAATGTTGTTTTCTGTTTAAGTCTACCTTAGAACTAAAAACATGGAATGTGAATTTAAAAGAAGCGTATTGATGAAATTCAAAAATAATTTAAGTGATATTAAGACGATTGGTTGTTTCAATAATAAAATAATTTTATTAGTTTTTGTTATTAATTTTGGTTGTCTGATTGCACTAGTACCATAAGAAACTAGACATATCATCGTTATTTTAAAATTATAAGTAATATTTATTTTAATTATACAATTCAGTTACAGGAAGTTTAGCTTCTATAAGGATTTTTTATTTGTTCATAAATATAGAAAGTGTCTGATTTTATTCTGAAGATGTGTTTTATTTTTTTCCCTTTAAATTGCTTAAACCACGAAACAGTATACTAATACAAAAGTGCCGATACTTATAGTGTTTGAATTATTATTGGAATCAATTTGATATTTTTAATTTAACTTATAATAGATATAGACAAGGCTGTGCACAAAAATATAAGTATTATATCTAATATAGAATTGCTGTTATCAAAATATAAGACTGGTTTATTTGCAGCAAAGTATTGCACTGAAATTATACCTTAAATTTGTGTATAAGTATTCACAAAACATGAAAGAAATAGTTTACACTCTCGTTAGAAATAATCCTATTTATAACCTTTCTAATTTTTAATTCATAGTTCTATAAACATAGTATAGTGTGGCTTTCAGGAGAACTCCTCCAGAAATTAGTCTCGCGTCGTGGCGGGTACCATGGTCACGAGGGAAAGTCACTTGGAATAGGGGTATGGGGTGAATAGTTTTGTCTTGATCTTAACATAGGTCAACTTGAGTAAACCAATACACACCTTCATTTCACCCTCATTAGAAATGTGCACTCGCTTGTTACCTTAGCAGCAGACAGAATTTTAGTCTGGAGGAGTTCTCCTCAAAGCTGCACTATAATCCATTACATAGTAAATATTATCCTTTGTAACTGTTTGTTGTTATTTTGCGGTCAAAGTTAATATGATATTACTTTACGCTAGCTTTTTTTACTAAAAGATGTTTGCAAAATCTCTTATTTTCATTTACGTAAGTTTGATACTTTTTCATAGACGCATGCGCATTTAACCAGTACTGATGCATGCGCACTAAAAGTACGCATGCGCAATGACTTAAAATCTTGCGTACGGAAGCCAACGTAAACTTGCGAAATATCCCTATGGTCTTAAAAATCACCAGTTGATGCAAAAACGAGGCTTAATATAAGACCGGTGTGCAAATTTTCTCGTCGAAATGGTCTGATATCCGACAGAAAATATTTTTTGATCGTTTTTCCAGATTGTTGAGTCATCTGATGAACTTTATAACTAATTTTATATTTTAGCGTGAATATATAATGGCTAGTTTCCGAAGCAGAGCGCAGCAACTTGTCCATTTCGATCTCAGTCTGTTTTTAGCTGATTTTTCAAATTTCCGATAATTTGGAATACTTGAAATGTAATCAGGCATGTTTGCTTTTTAAAAATATTTAATGTGAAATTTATATCGAAAAATAATTTCCGAGAGAGAGTATAATACATTTTAAGAGTCGTCCCTAAAAAGATACTGATTGTAGACTGAGTTTCTTTTGTTATTTTATACCGTGATTAACTGCAGTATTTAGTTTGGTACTTAAGTTTAATTAGTTTTCCTTTATCTGTTTGGATCTGTATGAAAGCTGCCTCCTCCAACTTTACTGAAATAAAAGTTTAAATAATTCTAGGTTTAATCCTGAAATTATACGATAAATACCGTTGTTGAA